CTTGCCGCGCTCGGCCCCGAGGTCGCCGCCGCTGTGGCTAGCTTCTGCGGCTGCGACGCCGGGCGTGGCGCGGCAAGGAGCCCGACGGCGACCGACCCGAGCGCGCGGAGCAGCGAGGCACCGGCGACGGCGGCGGGCGCGAAGTAGGCGCCGGCGAGCGGCAGGCTTCCCCGCCTCCGTCCGTTGACGAGGCCAACGACGGCGCCCTCAATCCCATCTCTTTCGACCGAGAGAGAGAGAAAAGAAGGCGCGGGGTCGCTGATTTGTGGGGCCAGGGCGGACACGAGAGGCCACTAGCGGATGGGAGCGGACGACGGGGGCGCTCGCTTTTGTCCATCGCGGACCCATTTCTTCACATATTTGCGTTCAGTTTGGGTCCGGAACGGACAGTAAGCGGACAGCCGGCGGACGCTCTGTCCGTTTGGGTCGCCCTGTTGGGCCATCTTTTCTGTCCGGATGACCCAAACGGACAAAATGGGTCGTCCCATTGGAGTTGCTCTAATATCACCGAAGGTCATAGAACTTGCGTTTGACGTTCAATTTGGTGCTAGAACTTTGAAAATGCGGATTTTCAATCACTTAACTTGTCTCAAGTGTTCACATACGGTCACAAAGTGCGTATGTGGACGTACTCATGTGTATGATCTCACCTGTCAGTGAGTAATGGTGCCCTGCCAATGCTATTTTCTAAAAACACCCTTGTATTTTTTTACTCATGGAAAGGACAACCACCACAATCTTTTTACACAAAACCCCCTTGCAATATTTTATTTGTAGAAAAGCCAACAACTGTAGCGTGAAAAATAACACAAAAAATGGTGGTGCCATGTATTGAACCAGCGACCAAGGTTACCAAAAGAACAAAGTATAGCAACTGAGCCATTCACTTTCAGATGCCTGATATGGATAAGGCCAATTCCACCGCGCGACCCTATCCTGTTCGGCCCCGTTCGTTTGGGGTAAAACGAAAAAAGGAGGCGGCCCAGCGTGTGACGGCCCGGACCCATCTTGTTCGTTTTGTGTCCAGGCCGACCCATTTCAAGCGCAAACTTGCGTCGGGTTTGGGTCGCGACGGACACCAAACGGACGCGCGCTCGCGGGGCCGCGTGGCAGGCGGTCACCTACCTCCCACCCGCCCACATCAATGCGCACGAGCGGGCGGCCCCACCTGTCATCCGCACGTCGAACGGTCGTTGTCCTTCTTTAAGTGGGAAGCGTGGACGGATCGTCGTCCACATTGCCCCACGCCACCCCGCGGCCTCCTCGAAACCCGACAGCGGCTGCTCCCAAACCCTAGCCAAGACCTCGTCGACCGGCCGCCCGCGGCCATGGGCCTCTGGAACTACGGCCGCAAAGGCAGGCAAGACCGCGAGGTTGGTTCCTCGTCGGGACGCCGCCGCGGCTCGGTGAAGAAAGAGGAGCCCGCCTCGCCATCGCCACCACGCCGGGCCCCCGCGCCGCCCGCCTTCTTCATCGTGCCCACGTTCGCGGGCGAGCGCGACCAGCATTACATCCGCGCGTCGGTGTGCCGCCGTTATTGGGAGACGAGGATGACTCCATGTACACGCACGACGAGCGGCAGTGGGACGGCCTGGAGGAGGCCATGGCCCTCTCTGCCGCCGGGGACGTCGCCTTCCCGGAGTTGCAGATGGTGGCCGTGGAGGAGGAGAGGAGGGAGGACCAGCAGGCCGCGTTCCAGCAGCTGCTGGGTCAGGGGTGGGGCTGGTCCTGCACTGCTCCGGAGATGGCCGCCGGCGTGGGCGTGAACTGGTGCCCCACTCCGCCGCGGTCACCGGAGCGGGAGGCGTCGCCACGGGAGGAGGTGGTGCAGGCACCTCCGGCCGACCAGCCCGCCCCCGTCCACCACGCACCTCCGGCCCATCTGTGGACGCCGCTGGCCTACGTCGACCTCGTCAGCGACGACGACGACACCGGCGGCCAGTGAAGACGGCGACGACCACGGCACCGACGGGCACGGCAGGAGCGCGCGGGAGGCGGAGGCGTTTTTTTATTTTGTTTTTATATGTTAATTATGAAAACTGGGCCTTTAAGTGAACGTGGAAACTGGGCCGCTTTGTGGCCGACCTCTATATATGTTTTATGTTTTTTTTAAATGCGTTTATTTAGTTTTTTAGTTATTTCATTCTAGTTTTTATAAAAAAAAAATTATTCACGTCCACCCCGGACACGATTTGGGGTGCGGCCGCGCGGTGCGCGCACGCACGACCCATCTGACAAAGGCGGACACCGGCGAACCCATCGACACCCTAAAGGAACAAAATCCGGCCAATCCGAATGTTTATTTGGGGTCGTGCGGTGGAGTTGGCCTAACAAGTTTATATGTACTGAACGATGTGCCATCTGTTATTACAGAATGAAAATCAACACACACAAAAACTGGGCTCCCGTTGTCGAACCAACGACCACACGCTTGCAAAGAAGACGCGCTAGCCACAATAACATACCAATGTACAGGTTTAATCTGAATAAGCGGTCTTAATGTACTAGAATAAAGGCGCTCCTAGAGCTGAAATGGTCTATGGACGGTGCAGCCAATGTTGTACCAGTTCGTTTTTTTAGAAATTTGTAGATAATATGTAAATTATAATTTTTGTAATAAAAATAATCTTTAGATATTCGTGTTTTATAAATTTTGTACATACAAATTACAAACGAAATAACCTACTTTTAAATTGTTTATGTATTACTTTAAAAATATTCATATATATATAATATATATTTATGAATTATCATAAAGTTTTTATAATTAAAACAGTAATCATTTAAAGTTTGTATTCATCATTTTATATAATTTGAATATAAGCCGTGAGTGTATAATTTTTTGTGGATTCATTAAACATGTTTATTTAATAAAGAATTTGAATGTCTGTATCAACTAAATATTACTTATATAATGCACAGTTTTATATTGATTTTTTTATTAACGAATGATTGTTTGTATGTATAATAGTTTTAACGCACAAATATTTGAACATAATTTTACTACTTATGTTTTGCAATATCTTAAAAGTTTTTATTATTTGTGTTTTACTAAATATTTTTTATAGAATACACAAGTTTATAAATTTACAAATTTTTATTTACTAATCATCTTCTTTATGTATAATTTTCGAACACATAAATATTTGAACAAAACAATTTTTTACTTACGTTCTGCATATATATTAAAGAAAATAGCGCGTCCAAAATGGGCAGCAGTCTCTGCAGTCCATTTAGCTCCACATGCCTTCGCGTTCAATACACACGAGGAGGTTTATTATTCACAGAGGACAAATGTGATTGGTGAAGCGGGTCGTTTATATAATCTTGTAAGCTTCGGTCACGGGTTCGAATGCTGGAATTTTGTCTATTTTGGACCTAGCCCAATAGCAGTTTCAGAAATTCCAAATAAATCTTAGAGGCTCACGCAGCCCATTCGTGCAAGGCAAGAGGTGGAACTAAAGTTTAGTCGCACATTGCTAGTTTAGAGGGAGTTGGACCTCTTTATAAGGAAGGCTATTTCTTCACATGTATGAGGATGAGAACAAGAGGGACATCCACGCGCCCGCCTGCCTGCCTCGCCACGTCACGCCTCGTCACGACGCGCCGCGGGTTGCGGGAATGAGCCGAGCGGATGTCCAAATTTTTGTCACGCACGACGGGTATACGAAAGGTCACGCAGAAGGTGAAACGTTTTTGCTCTAGTGGAGATTGAATATGAACGGCGCACCTCTTCGCCTGTTGCCTGTTCGTTTCGTCTCACTCGTTCTCTTCAGCTCCCTGCGCAGCCTCTCGCCTCCTTTTGCGCTTATAAAAGGGAGGTCACTCCTCTCAGAGAGACGCACCAGAACCTCTTCTTCCTCTCGCCACAAGTTTCTGAGCACTGCGCTGCTGCTACGTTCTTCCCCATCCCGGCTTGCGGCGTGCATCTCAGGTCGGGACAGTAGGCCTCCGAAACCGCACCTCTTTGAGTCATGTACGGGAGAAGGGTGATAAGGTTTTTGGGGAGCGCTTCGCGCGACTACTGACTTCTTCGTCACGGACGCC